GAGAGAGAGAGTTGTGACTTGAGACTTGACGACATTGGATCCAGACTCGACATTGGGATTCATACATTTTGGCGAGGGACTATTTGGGCTTGTGCCGAAGACTTGGTGTTGACGACATTCCCATCTTCCCCTCTTCTTCGTCTAACCCCCCTCTTCTTCATCGGTGTATGGTTGGGGCTGGCGCATTCTTCCTGTGTGAGCGCCAGACCCCTTCACACCATGGAGTGATGATGATGATGATATATGTTCGGGGCTGCATTCCAATATTGGTTGTTCGGATCATTGGTATCTAAGTCTTCCGCTACGCTATCTTGTACTTTGTGAGAGAGGTCGGTTCTTGTTCTGGTCTGCACCGTTACAGTATGCAACACATACCTTATCTTCCCATCTCAATCTCTTCTTACGGCGAGGTAGAGATTTCGGCTTGAGAGTCTTCTGCTCGGTGAGGAGGCGTGAGCGCTCTACCTCGAGAGTCGACATTCTTCCTCGTGGCACATCTGGCAGGAGAGGGCGGTGCCTCTAAAGGGCCATGGTCGAAGCACGGGTCATGGTCACCGTGGCAACCCACGGGAGTAGAGCACGCAGGCTTTGCTGCTTTGTCCTTTGAGCTCTTTGCTGCCCTATAGAGGGATCGTGGACTGGCCAGTCCTATGTGAGACACGTACCAGACCGTCTATAAAGAACCTGTGGTGGGGATCTGACACTTGGCTGTGATTGTCGTCCTGTTTGCGACGTTAAATAATTCCAGAGGACTTCGGGGGCTGTCCTTAAATTGCCTCTTGATCAGCCAGGTTGTCGGAGTAAGGCCCGTTGCACGCAAGGATAAAGAAAGCGCAGAGCTGGCCATAAACGGGTTCCTGGGCACAGGGGTGGGCTGATAAGCACACCTTAGACACCGCTGCTTGATGATGCAAAACAGGATCGTCGGATACAGGGGAGGGAAGGTTCCAACTGGTGTTCGCACACAATCATTATTATTTCCATTCTGCATGCATCTGCAGAAGTGATTTTATTTTTATTAAATTTATTTTGATTAGTTGAGGTGTTTACAGACCGCTGACACCTGACAGACAGCAATAGAGTAGTACTGTAGTAGTCTACAATAGTCAGTTCTGTTTATTGCTGCTGTTCGAGAACTGATTAAAGTGGAAGTAGGATCATTTGCAGAGTCTGTGTATTTTTTGTTCACACCGCCTGCGTTCTGATAATCGGACCGAATATTTATTTATTTATTTATTTATTAATTATCTTTCAAGTCGGTCAGATCCTATGTTGTGGTAGGTACCAGCGAGGACACTAGTGCAAACATTTGTCTGCTATTGTTGATGAGCAGATGTAGTAGTGAGCAGGAGAGAGCTGACTTTGGGGGCTGACATGGTGTAGTACCATTAGGGAGCACGCCTTGTACAGGTCTTATCACACGGTCAGGGAAGTTACTGTGTGCAGTAAGCTGAGGGCAGTGTTGGGTATGGCCCCAGCAGCAGCAGCTGCATGGGCCTGGCCAAGAGGCCCTGCAAACTGTGACGCGGTCTTCCGCTGTAGGTGTAGATTGGACAGCAGTCTGGAGTTGGATGGCTGGCTCACAGTCTAGCTAGCCACTCCAGCTCACTCAGGCCGACCTGGAGATTTAGGAGGCATTAGACATCCGGATTCAGCTAGAAGCCGAAGTAAGTGGCGCAGAGGATAAGGAAGCCATACTAGCGAGTAGGGGAGACAATGACGAGGCTAGGCCAAAGGGAATGGGTGAGAATGGGCTCAGAGACGAAGAGAAGGCTCTGCGGGCATGCAAAGTAGGCATGTAGGAGTCCATGTCCGCTTGGGAAAGCATGTGGACATCTTTCCTTTCCGGCCAGGTTCTGATACGGAGAGTGCACAGAGTGAATGGGAGAAGGTTCCCATCCTTAAGTACGCTGCCGAGTGTCGGGACTGCAAGGCAGCCTTTGCCTGTCTCACCGTCGATGCTGAGAGTGTCGCTGGTGTCAGGTTTTTCTACTCCTAGGTTTGGTATTGGTCCATCAGACGGGTCGTTAGCAGTAGATATGCAGGCTTAGAAAGCTTCTTCTTCTTCTTCTCAGATTGGTGCTGCTACAGAGCAGCCACAGGTTCCACAAGCTGTGCTGGAAGCAGCAGTGCAGAATGGTGGGAAGGACCCATAGGTTCCAAATGCGGCATTAGCACAGGCGGAGTCCTTCAACAGATATAGGAAGGACAAGGCCCTCAATTTTTGGTAGAGGCAGGTGCCGACGCATGTTAGGAACAAAGACAGATGTCAGAGGAACGAGGAAATCGTTGCAGCAGCAAGGTGGTTAGAAGGGTTAGTACAACATGATGGACACGACCGGGCTTTGACTATTTGACTGATGTCTGGTGTCTTAGTCTATGGGTCCTAGAGATGCAGTGTGGGATCCTTGTTCTCATGACTACCCACATGAAGTTCTGAACGGTAGAGAATTGGGTAGTTAGTGAAATCACCGGGGATGTGCACGATTTCTGTTCCTTCAATAAGATGACCTTGGACATAGAGGCCAAGCTTAGTAACGCGAGTCAGAGTCCAGGCGAAGGGAGGAAGAAGAAGCTACCCGAGGATAAAAAACCGAAAGGGGATGTCCTACTCTAAATAGTTTCTGATAGGAAGCAGGGAGAGGTAGGGGGAGTCTACTGTCCTTGGGGATAGACAAAGAAGACGGCGGCGAGACGACTTCCGAGGGAGGAGAGCTGGTCGTCTCAAACAAGGCTGAGGAGACTGGCATGCAACGAAGCAACCAGTCCAGGTGTCAAAAAGGGAAGATTCTTCTTTCCCCATAAGGGTAGTTAAAGAGGGGGTTGATGCATGTGCGTGTCATAGGGGACCCACAAGACGGGCTCTTTGTGTTTGAACCTACAACCCCGGTAGCGAAACTCCCATTTGACCCGGCTAAATGGGAATGGCCTGGCCCCAAACCCATGCATATATGGGACTACACAGTCAAAGGAGGGTACAGGGCCTCAAGGATCACCCCGGAGATTGCCCAAACGCTGTCTGCCAGATGGGACCGTGACTCACCCTTAGACTCTCAGATGACAGCTGACCTGCCCTGGGCTAAGTATGCTAAAATTATGCCACGAATCTGCGAGCCCTGCAATGGCAAATTATCCACCGGTGCCTACCCACTCCCGATTGGCTGGTGTCTCGTACCAATCTGGAACAAAAAGGGTTGCTCTCGCCTTTATGTACCTACTGTGCCAGAGCAACACCGCCGGCCAGGGCCACATTGGAGCATTGTTTATTGGCCTGCCCTATGGTCACTCAACTGTGGCAGTGGTGGGACGCAACCTTTCGATCCCTCACAGGAGAGCATATCCCATGGGACCTGGGGCTACTGCTGCTGGGTAAAAATCAACACTTAATGAATCAGTGGTCCCCCTATGCAACCAATCACTTCTCTTACACGAGGCTCCAGGTGCTCATGTTAGCCTGGAGAACCAGATGCTCGTTCGAAAGAAGGGACCACCAATTCGGTCTGCAGCAAGCCCAACAAGTTTTGGAGGACATTATCAGGTCCTACACGCAAGATGCGTGGAAGACATTCATTCGGGACTATAGGGAGGAGAAGGACCCTGAGGTTCGGGAAACGCTAAAATCGGCCTTTTGGCTGCTGTGGCAGGACCCGCACCAATCATTTTCCGAATTGGACAGTGAGCTCAATATCCACTGGAAGCATTGGAGGGCCACAGAGCCATTATGGCAAAGGAGACCCTTCCACTGCTTCCAAGTCCCCTTCTTACAACCTAACTTCGTACTGGTGACACAATAAGGCCGTGGTGCCACGCTCCGTTGCCTTCTCGCCCATTTCACCCCCCCCCCCCCCCCCTCCCTGCCCTTCCTCTGCCCCACATTGCTCTACACCCCCAGCCTTTCCCCCCATCTCGTCCCCTTTTCTCTAACACTCTCAAGCGAGGAGGACCAAGAAGTGGAGCAACTGCAAAAGACA